TACTTTATTGCTGCGCAGCCTTTCTCTGCCCTTTCCGCTCTGTGCACCTCTTCACTCTCATCCTGCTACCATGACTAGTCTGAAACATGGTTGCAGGCACGCTTCTACACCATTTTATACCCAACAGCAATCTGCTTCCAGAGCAAGGTTAGCAAAAGTTAAGCAAACCAAAAGGGGAACAAGACCGGCTTTGCCAGCGTATTTTGCTTTGATTTTTTTCCTTGCTTATTTTTTCATTAGGACTATGGATTCTTTTTCTAGTCCGGTTTAGCCCTGAAAAGCACGGCTAGAATTGCACATTACTAATATTTTTAACATCAAATACTGCATTAAATGTAACCTCTGGAAGAGCCTCAAACAACGGGGAAGCACAAAAAAGAATCCCATAGACACAGACCTGCTCCCCGGTGGGGAAATTACCATGTTGGACTTCATCGCTATCAACCGTCAGACCCCAAAAACAAGCAAAGAATTTGTGATCACCTGATTCAGGATAATTTTAAGTCACTGGTAAGCTGAAAGTTAGATTTGAGCTCTCTGCCTTTTGATTTAGCTAGCAATGGAAATAAGTAGCTATCTATTGCTAAATATTGGATATTTTACTTACAGTACTAATTCTGGGAAGATTAAGGTTTTTTGGGGTGGCTGTTTGTTTGGGGTTTTTTTGCGTTTTTTTTAAAGAACTGGGAAATAGCTGAAAAGCTGAATAATGAAAGCAATCTAGATTCCAGTCCCACACCATCCAAAGGGGACAGATAAAAATAAAAAGAGCAGCTTTAAGTGATGCTCAGGATGTTGTTAGTCAATAGCAATAAATCACATTCATAAGCTCACCCAGCGGTAAACCAAAACTAAACTTAAATTCATTTTCTTAGGAAGTTTAGAGAGTCGGTGTCACTTTGAAATCCAACACAGTCAAAAATGTTTATGGTAAGAGGGTGCCATTATCAATACTTTTACTAGCGAGGGGAAGATTTATCAATTGGTTAAAGATGAAATAAGAAGGAAATGGCAGGCTTCACATTCAGACAGCATAGGGCAATGCTTTAAAAAAAAAACAAAAAACAATTTCCAAACCTCCCAAGGCAGATGGAAAGCAACCTCCGAGTAAAATTTTGCTTCTCAAGACAAAGTACCAGTATTATGACTTCACCGTCCCATGTGCTGCTCATTGCACTTATTAAAGGAAAGGAAGTTTATCATGTTCATCTGGTCAGTAGTTTCCTTAATAAGTGCAAACTAGGTGATTTAGAAAGTCTTTATTCAATACTACTGATTCAACTCAAAGGGAAAGCCTACAGAATTCATTGCGAGTCAGTGTTTTTCTCCTAATGTCTATTGATGAAAGAAATTTAGCAATATTTCTTTAGCTGGACAAGTCTAAAGAATACTCCACCTCAACGAAGTCGAGCAAACCTTGGACAGCTTATGGAGGTAGTAAATTGAGAGAGACCTCCTGGAGAACAAAATGAACTACTCTCTCAGTCTTAACTAATTTGATAATAAAACTTAATGCTAAAAAGCTTGTAAATCCTGGTAATGGTAACATCATAGGGCATCATAATAATTGCCGTGCAATGTCATTAGAGTGTTTCTTCTCACAAGATTTGGCTAACACCATCAAAGCATTCCTCTTTTTACTTTCCAACCAAGGGGAGAGGAATCCCATTTTTCAAATTGCAATTTTTTTCTCCAAAATACCCACCTGCCTTCTAGAGCTTTGTCTAGCTAAGGGACCCAGTATCTTCCATTTCAGATTTGGTCAAAAAAGGGAAACTCTGTAGCCTGGGCTGGTCTTCAAGCAAGTCAGTCTTTTACTTGGGTCTTGTAATGACCCACTGTGAAACAGCAGACCTACTAAGCATTTAATGCCTTTGCACATGCAGGATAGTGCTTTACACGGTAAGAAATCCCACTGATTCAGCTGAACC